TCAGTTGTTGTGCTTAAACACCAAAACTGGAGGAAGCATAACAAGATGTGCTTCTGACCTCCCCTGCTTTCACGGCTGGCTAAGAATTCAGTTTTGTGGCTCTCTGCTCCTCCTGTTCGACAGACAGCCGCATCTTGTCTCCCATCGCCAGCCACATCCCTGAGACACCATGGGGAAGGTGAAGGTCGGAGTCAACGGATTCGGTTGTATTGGGCGCCTGTTCACCAGGGCTGCTTTTAACTCTGGTAAAGTAGATACTGTCGCCATCAATGATCCCTTCATTGACCTCAACTACATGGTCTACATGTTCCAGTATGATTCCACCCATGGCAAATTCCATGGCACTGTCAAGGCTGAGAATGGGAAGCTTGTCATCAATGGAAATCCTATCACCATCTTCCAGGAGTGAGATCCCTCCAAAATCAAGTGGGGCAATGCTGGCACTGAGTACGTGGTGGAGTCCACTGGCATCATCACCCCATGGAGAAGGCTGGGGCTCACTTGCAGAGGGGAGCCAAAAGGGTCATCATATCTGCCCCCTCTGCTGATGCCCCCATGTTCGTGATGAGCGTGAACCATGAGAAGTATGACAACAGCCTCAAGATCGTCAGCAATGCCTCCTGCACCACCAACTGCTTAGCGCGCCCCTGGCCAAGGTCATCCATGACAACTCTGGTATCGTGGAAGGACTCATGACCGCCGTCCACACCATCACTGCCACCCAGAAGACTGTGGATGACCCCTCCAGGAAACTGTGGCATGATGGCCGTGGGGCTCTCCAAAATATCATCCCTGCCTCTATTGGCGCTGCCAAGGCCGTGGGCAAGGTCATCCCTGAGCTGAACGAGAAGCTCACTGGCATGGCCTTCCATGTCCCCACTGCCAACGTGTCAGTGGTGGACCTGACCTGCTGTCTGTAAAAACCTGCCAAATATGATGACATCAAGAAGATGGTGAAGCAGGCATTGGACAGCCCCCTCAAGGGCATCCTGGGCTACACTGAGCACCAGGTGGTGTCCTCTAACTTCAAGAGTGACACCCATTCTTCCACCTTCAATGCTGGGGCTGGCATTGCCCTCAATGACCACTTCGTCAAGCTCATTTCCTGGTATGACAATGAATTTGGCTACAGCAACAGGGTGGTGGACCTCATGTCCCACATGGCCTCCAAGGAGTAAGACCCCTGGACCACCAGCCCCAGCGAGAGGAAGAGAGGCCCTCACTGCTGGGGAGTCCCTGCCACACTGAGTCCCCCACCACACTGAATCGCCCCTCCTCACATTTTCCATGCAGACCCTTGAAGAGGGAGGGGCATAGGGAGCCCCACCTTGTCACCTTGTCGTGTACCATCAATAAAGTCCCCTGTGCTCAGCCAAAAAAAAAAATAATAATAATTCAGTTTTGTTTTTGTTTCTTGTTTATTTGTTTGTTTGTTTGTTTTGAGACGGAGTTTCACTCTTGTTACCCAGGCTGGAGTGCAATGGCGTGATCTCGGCTCACCGCAACCTCCATCACCTGGGTTTAAGCAATTCTCCTGCCTCAGCCTCCTGAATAGCTGGGATTACAGGCGTGCGCCACCATGCTCAGCTAATTTTTGTATTTTCAGTAGAGACAGGGTTTCACCATGTTGACCAGGATGGTCTCGATCTCTTGACCTCGTGATCCACCCATCTTGGCCTCCCAAAGTGCTGGGATTACAGGCATGAGCCACCGCGCCCGGCCTGTTTGTTTGTTTTTTGAGACGGAGTCTCACTCTGTCTCCCAGGCTGGAGTGCGGTGGTGATCTTGGCTCACTGCAAACTCTACCTCCTGGGTTCCAGCAATTCTCCTGACTCAGCCTCCCAGGTAGCTGGGACTATAGGTATGTGCCACCTCACCCAGTTAATTTCTTTTTTTTTTTTTTTTTTTTAGTAGAGATGGGGATTTCATTGTGTTGGCCAGGCTGGTCTCGAACTCCTGACCTCAAGTGATCCTCCTGCCTTGGCCTCCCAAAGTGCTAGTGTGAGCCACTGAGCCTGGCCTTGTCTTCTTGTTGTTTTTTGTTTTTGAGATGAAGTCTCACTCTGTGTCCCAGGGATGGAGTCTGACTCTGTGTCCCAGGCTGGAATGCAGTGGCACAATCTCGGCTCACTGCAACCTCTGCCTCCCGAGTTTAAGAGATTCTCCTGCCTCAGCCTCCCAAGTAGCTGGGATTACAGGTGTGTGCCACCATGCCTGGCTAATTTTTTGTATTTTTAGTAGACACAGGGTTTCACCATTTGGCCAAGGCTGGTCTCCAACTCCTGACCTCAGATGATCCACCCACCTCGGCCTCCCAAAGTGCTGGGATTACAGGAGTGAGCCACTGTGCCTGATGGGAATTCAGTTTTTAATGATTTTTTTGGTGTCCTTTGGCCAAGAGGGGGTCCATTCATTTGGTGGCGTTGGGGGGCAGCTTGCAATTTTATTTTTGTTAACAATATTAATACAATCCACAAATATTAATTCAGTGCCCACTTGTGCAAGGTACCTGATAACTTCACAAGGTGAAAAGTGCAAAGAAAAAAAGAGACCAAAACAGGGAGAAGATATGAGAGAACCCCTGGTGATAGAATGACAGAGAAGGTTATATTTACGTATTTTTCTTTTTTTAGTAGAAACGGGGTGTTGCTACGTGGCCCAGGAAGGCCTGAAACTCCTTGGTTCAGGTGATTCTCCCGCCTTGGCCTCCCATACCATTGGGATTATAGGCATGAGCCACTGTGCTGGGCCAGGGAAGTTTGCTCTGAGGTGACATTTATGTTGACTAGAGAGTGAAATGTCAATGAAACAAAAGAAGCCTGGGTAACATAGCAAGACCTTGTCTCAACTAAAAATAAGAAATTGGCCGGGTGCAGTAGCTTACACCTGTAATCCCAGCACTTTGGAAGGCTGAGGCCGGAGAATCACAAGGTCAGGAGATCGAGACCATCCTGGCCAACATGGTGAAACCCTGTCTCTACTAAAAAAAAAAAAAAAAAAAAAAAAGGCCGGGCGCGGTGGTTCACGCCTGTAATCCCAGCACTTTGGGAGGCCGAGGTGGGTGGATCACGAGGTCAAGAGATCGAGACCATCCTGGTCAACACGGTGACATCCCGTCTCTACCAAAAATACAAAAAATTAGCTGGGCATGGTGGTGTGTGCCTGTAATCCCAGCTACTCAGGAGGCTGAGGCAGGAGAATTGCTTGAACCCAGGAGGCGGAGGTTGCGGTGAGCCGAGATGGCGCCATTGCACTCCAGCCTGGGTAACAAGAGCGAAACTCTGTCTCAAAAAAAAAAAAAAAAAAAAAAAAAAAAAAAAAAAAAAAATTAGCTGGGCATAGTGGTGGGTGCCTGTAATTCCAGCTACCCCGGAGGCTGAGGCAGGAGAATCGCTTGAATTAGTAGGAAGTAGGAGGTTGCAGTGAGCTGAGATCCTGCCATTGCACTCCAGCCTCAAAACAGAGAGAGACTATGTCTTTAAATAAATAACTAAATAAATAAATAAAAATTTAAAAATTAAAAAAAGAAAAAGCAGCCAGCATAGTGGCATTTGTCTAAAGTACCAGCTACTCAGGAGGCTGAAGTGGGAGGGTTGCTTGAATCAGGAATGTGGAGCGTTCACTGAGCGGTAATTTCATCACTGCACACTCTCTGAGTGCAACAGGGTCAGACTCTGTCTTAAAAAAAAAAGAGAGAACTGGGCGCGGTGGCTCACGCCTGTAATCCCAGCACTTTCGGAGGCCGAGGCGGGTGGATCGCGAGGTCAAGAGATCGAGACCATCCTGGTCAACATGGTGAAACCCCGTCTCGACGAAAAATACAAAAATTAGTTGGACATGGTGGCACCTGCCTGTAGTCCCAGCTACTCGGGAGGCTAAGGCAGGAGAATTGCTTGAACTGAGGAGGCGGAGGTTGCGGTGAGCCGAGATCGCGCCATTGCACTCCAGCCTGGGTAACCAGAGCGAAACTCCGTCTCCAAAAAAAGAGAGAGAGAGAGAGAGAGAGAGAGAGAGAGAGAGAGAGACCGAGACCGGGCACAATGGCTCACACCTGTAATCCCAGCACTTCGGAAGGCCGATTTGGGTGGATCATCTGAGGTCAGGAGTTCGAGACCAGCTTGGTGAACATGGCAAAACCCCGTCTCTACTAAAAAGACAAAAAAATTAGCCGGGAGTGGTGGTGCATGCCTGTAATTCCAGCTACTCGGGAGGCTGAAGCTGGAGAATCGCTTGAACCTGGGAGGCAGAGGTTGCAGTGAGCTGAGATCGTTCCACTGCACTTCAGCCTGGGTGACAGTGAGACTTCTTCTCAAAATAAATAAATAATAATTTAAAATAATTTTTAAAAAGAAACAAAAGAACACTGATACTTTTTTTTTTTTTTTTTTTTTTTTTAGAGGAAGTCCTGTTCTGTTGTCCAGGCTGTAGTGCAGTGGCACGATCTAGGCTCACTGCAACCTCCACCTCCCAGGTTCAAGCCGATTCTTCTGCCTCAGCCTCCCGAGTGGCTGGGATTACAGGAGCGTGCCACTACACCCGGCTGATTTTTGTATTTTTAGTAGAAACGAGACACGGTTCTACCATGTTGGCCAGGCTGATCTGGAACTCCTGACCTCAGGTGATCACCCACCTCGGCCTCCCAAAGTGCTGGGATTACAGGCGTGAGTCACCGCGCCCCGCCAGAACACTGACACCCTTCATAACAAATGAATGCGATTTACGTATCTCTAAGCCGAGGCACGTCGGACGTCGGTATCCTGGACGTCAGCATCCAGGGACACAGCTCCCAACTCCATGTTCCCCCATTTTATTGACGCTACTAGGCCAGGAAAGGGAAAACTTCCTTTGAGCTTTAAACTAACAACGACTTTAGGATTGAAATCGTGGGCTGGGGGTGGACGCCACGCCTCATTCTGATGGGTCCAAGAGCCGAAATTTCGGCTTCTGGCACTCTCCTTACCCAGCTCTCTACGCTCCTCCGTCATTCTGCTTTCCAGTCCATTGCCCGGAGCCCTTGCTAGCGATTGGCTAAGAATAGGCTCGCCTCTTGCTCGAGATTCGCTGTGAGCTCCAGGAAGCCCGCCTCCGCTCTCCCATGATTCGCTACTTCAGTGTTCTTCCGCCCCTCCATCAACCAGATTGGGTGCTTGGCGGTCCCCGTCGTTAGCGCGTACCCAAGTACTGCTTGCTGCGGCAGAGACGCCAGAGGTGCAGCTCCAGCAGCAATGGCAGTTACGGCGTTGGCGGCGAGGACGTGGCTTGGCGTTTGGGGCGTGAGGACCATGCAAGCCCGAAGCTTCGGCTCGGATCAGGTACGCTGCGACAGTGTCCGCCGCCCCAGCCGCGAGGGCGGATCCCATCTTCGCTTCCTTATCTTTACCAGTGTCCCTGTCTCTTTGCAGTCCGAGAATCTCGATCGGGGCGCGGGCTCCATCCGGGAAGCCGGTGGGGCCTTTGGAAAGCGAGAGCAGGCTGAAGAGGAACGATATTTCCGGTGAGGCTCACTGGGTCCCAAGTCCAGGCCGAGATCTCCCAGGGCTTTCGAATCCTTAAACTGCCAATCGCCCCACCTATTCCTACCTGGTGCCTTGGGGCACCCCATCCCCCAACAGAACTCTCGAGCCCCTTGATGTGCCGACCGTTGCCACCTATACGGCATTCCTAGTTCCCTGCAGAACAGTCTCAGGCCCCCAAAACATTTCCACTGGCGAGTCTCCAAAACAACCCACGGCTTAACTCCTCCTTTATCATTACCATCCCCCTCGTGGAGTTCTCCTCTGGTCGTGCGAAACGCCCCCAGATTCTTCGCACAGGGTCTAGATCCCACCATCCAATGCTTGCCTCCCAGCCTGACTCGCTCGGCCCTCACCCGTCACCCCCTCTACGCTCTCTTTCCTCCCCAGCACGCCTTAGCTTTGCAAGCCTGCATGCATTCAGGCTTCTCAGGCGTTTCCAGACCCCTGACTCCACGAGTGAGGGTCTTGGGAGCTGGTCATGAGAGCTGCTTATGGTTGGACTACACCACCTACCTCCTAAAGGCTTTTGTCCTACTCAGCTCAGCCTAGACCTGTAGATTTCCCTCTCCTGCTTGGGAGTATGGAGTGGGCTGGGCCTATCTACTCCCTTTCCCAGCCCCGAGTTATCTTTAACTGACTTCTGTCCACTCTGGAGAGCAGTGAGGAATTAATCTTGCTTTTGCTTGTCCTTTGGCCATTCACTTCTGCCTTCTGTTAAGAATTATCACCATGACACCTGCCATACTGTATAGAGCCAAGATACAGCCCTTAGAGACTATCTAATTGAGCCCCTGCTCAATAGATAGTTAGGAGAACTGAAGCCTAAATGTGGCCAAACCAACATTGTAATCCAGTCCCTTCTTGGGACCTAAATTGAACTGCCTACTACTGCCCATGCAGGAGACCCATTTTTGGCCTTACAGTGGGCCATATGTGTTTACAGGCAAAGAAAGCCCTAGACATATTAAAATAGGAGATGGGTATTTGTCTTTTAACCACACCCCCTTGTCTTCCTCATTTTGTTCCTTTGTTTCCTCCCAAAGGGGAGTCAAGTTCCTTGGGTTGTTCCTTGCTTAGGTATTAGGGACTTGTGTCACATCTCTCTGGAGTTTTCTATTGCAAAGAGGAATCCGAAAGCAAAAAGCTCTTAATGATGGAATTTAAGCCACTAGCACCAGTGGAATCATTTTGGTCTTCTCCTTAAGATGGCTACACCTCAATTTAAGATGGGATATTCTTTCACTAGTTAAGGAGTAGAAGAAGATGACCAGCCAGACTCCCATGGAATTGGGACACCTGTTCCTTGCTTAGGTATTACAGGTTATGCTTAGAGATCTCTTTGGGGTGAAGGATTGACATTAAACCCTGAGCCACTGTGTCTTTGTAGAGCACAGACTAGAGAACAACTGGCAGCTTTGAAAAAACACCATGAAGACGAGATTGTTCATCATAAGAAGGAGATTGAGCGTCTGCAGAAAGAAATTGAGCGGCATAAGCAGAAGATCAAAATACTAAAACATGATGATTAAGTGCACACAGTTCCCCATAGAATGGCACATGTCATTGCCCACTTCTGTGTAGACATAGTTCCGGTTTAATTAATATTTGTCTGTGTGCTACTAACAGATTATAATAAATTGTCATCAGTGAACTGTGTCTGATGCCTTCTTCTATCTGGGAGAGATAGAGGGACATACACTAATGAACTACTAAAATGAATTAGAGGGTTCCCTTCATCAGGAAACCCACCACCAAAGCACAGTGTGATAAGTGCTATGAAACAGTGCAAGTGGGGGGATGGGCATGACATAGAAAAGGTACCCCTCCCAGTCTAATTAGAAGTGTTCAGAGAAAGCTTCTTGAAGGCTAAATCCCAATCTAAAGCATAAAGATAAGGAGCAGCCTGGCCATCAAAAGGAATCATTGCTTCAAAAGATACAACTGGGCCAGGTACAGTGGCTCATGCCTATAATCCCAGCACTTTGATAGGCCAAGGTGGGCAGGTCACCTGAAGTCAGGAGTTCAAGACCAGCCTGGCCAACATAGTGAAACCCTGTCTCTACTAAAAATACAAGAATTAGCTAGGTGTGGTGGCATGCACTTGTAGTCCCAGCTACTCCAGAGGCTGAGGAAGGAGAATCACTTGAACCTGGGAGGTGGAGGTTGCAGTAAGCCAAGATTATGCCACTGCATTCCAGCCTGGGTGACAGAGTGAGACTCTTGCCTCAAAAAAAGGATAAAATTGAAAGCACCATTAGTTAAAACAGCATTTTGCATTTTTAAAACGGTTTAGAGGACACTTAATATGAGCTAGTCATCCTTGTTCTAATTTTGTAGACCGAGAGAACTGGAATTAGAAAACGTGATTTATACAGTCACTCAGCACCTTGGCAGTGAGACTTGTATTCAGGTTTTATGACTTCTAATCCAAGTCTGTTATTAGCAGAAAATCAGAATTATTTCTTAGGTTATATTTTGCTTTGCCAAGTATGTTTTTGTTTAAAATTAGACTTGAGGGCCTTGTATAACTAAATTATTATACAAACTAGTATAAATCCTCTAGGCAGAAAAATTTCAGGTGACCTTTGGGCCATTAACAAAACATTTTCAGTTCACCAATTTAGTAGAGTATTTGCCCAGGATTGTAATGAGTTATTTGTTCAAAACCCTATCTATCTCACAAAGGCTTCTAGGGCCACTGAATGATAAAAGCTTGGAGAAGTCACACTGACCTTGTCCACAACTTGCCCATGAAACTGAACCCTGAGCAAGGTGTGGTTGTGCGTGCCTGTAGTTCAGCTACTTAGCAGTCTGAGGCAAGATGATTGCCTGAGCCCAGGCATTCCAGACTTGCCTGGGCAGCATTTTAACCCCAACTCCTAGAAAGAGAGAAAGAAACGCTAAACCTTGAATTACAATGATTATAATGTTGCTGAATCTCAGCGCTAAGGCCTCGGTAGTGCCTATTTTTCAAGTAGCCAGCACAAAATGAAGTTCAAGAAACAATCATACTGGCCAGGTGAGGTCTGTAATCCCAGCCCTTTGGGAGGCCAAGTCGGGTGGATTACGAGGTCAGGAGCTCAAGACCAGCCTGACCAACATGGCAAAACTCCATCTCTACTGAAAATACAAAAATTAGCCAGGTTTAATGGCGGGCGCCTGTAATCCTAGCTACTCAGGAGGCTGAGGCAGGCGAATCACTTGAACCCAGGAGGCGGAGGTTGCAGTGATCTGAGATCGCACCATTGTGCTCCAACCTGGGCGACAGAGCGAGACACCATCTCAAAAAAAAAAAAAAAAAAAGAAAAGAAAAAAATAGAAACAATCACACGAAGATCAAATGCCTTTTCTTTTAATGTTATTAACAGAATAACACTTGAAAAGTTTAAAAATGGGAATAACACTTTAAAAGTTAAAAGATGCCTGGCCGGGCGCGGTGGCTCACGCCTGTAATCCCAACACTTTGGGAGGCCGAGGCGGGTGGATCACGAGGTCGAGAGATCAAGACCACCTTGGTCAACATGGTGAAACCCCGTCTCTACTAAAAATACAAAACATTAGTTGGGCATGGTGGCGCATGCCTGTAATCCCAGCTACTCAGGAGGCTGAGGCAGGAGAATTGCCTGAACCCAGGAGGCGGAGGTTGAGGTGAGCCGAGATCGCGCCTTTGCACTCCAGCCTGGGTAACAAGATCGAAACTCTGTCTCAAAAAAAAAAAGGTTAAAAGATGTTTTAGCAAACATCTTTCATTTTGCATACTTACAACAAAAAAGGAATACAAAATCCCCTAAATTGTACATGATAGTGTTTGTTTGTTTTTGTTTTTGTTTTACTTATAATCAACAATTGTCTTACTAGGAGTAATGTTCCTAAATGGCTTCCTCAGTAAAGATGTACCATCTAGGCCGGGCACAGTGGCTCAGGCCTGTAATCCCAGCACTTTGGGAGGTGAGGTGGGCGGATCATCTGAAATCAGCAGTTCAAAACCAGCCTGGCCAATATGGAGAAGCCCCATCTCTACTAAAAATACAAAAAATTATTTTGTGTTGGTGGTACATGCCTGTAATCCCAACTACTTGGGAGGCTGATGGAGGAGAATCACTTGAACCCAGGAGGTAGAGATTGTGGTGAGCCAAGATCAAGCTATTGCACTCCAACCTGGGCAACAAGAGCGAAATTCCATCTCAAAAAAAAAAAAAAAAAATACAAAAATTAGTCAGGCCTGGTGGCACACATCTGTAATCCCAGCTATTTAGGAGGCTGAGGCAGAAGAATTGCATGAACCTAGGAGGCAGAAGTTTCAGGGAGCTGAGATCATACCACTGCACTCCAGTCTGAGAGACAGCAAGAATATTGTCTCCAAAAAAAAAAAGTACCATCTACTCTTGTCATATATTTTATTTTAAATAAGAATCAGTCTGGCCGGTCACGATGGCTTGCGCCTATAAATCTAGCACTTTGGGAGGCCGAGGCGGGTGGATCATGAGGTCAAGAGATCGAGACCATCCTGGTCAACATGGTGAAACCCTGTCTCTACTAAAAATACAAAAAATTAGCTGGGCATGGTGGCACATGCCTGTAATCCCAGCTACTCAGGAGGCTGAGACAGGAGAATTGCCTGAACCCAGGAGGCGGAGGTTGCAGTGAGCCGAGATTGTGCCATTGCACTCCAGCCTGGGTAACAAGAGCGAAACTCCATCTCAAAAAAAAAAAAAAGATCACGCCATTACACTCCAGCCTGGGCAACAGAGCAAGACTGACTCAAAAAAAAAAAAAAAATTAAATAGGCTAATTTAAATATATCCGAACTTTGCGAAAATGGTAACTCGCGTTCTTTTTGTTATGATACACCTGTGGTTAATTTTGCTACCTTGCTGCAATAAAAAGGAAGATGTAAGATGTAAATACATACAGAGCAATATCATAAACATGTTTAAATCCTAAAAGAATTTATGCGACATGAGCCAGTAATCACAGAAAACGTAGCACAGGTCATGGGTTTCACCTGGAACCTAGAAGGACCCCAGGTGGTTCTTAGAATCAGGATAATTTGCAAAGTACTACAGCAGTGGTTCCAAAAGCCAGCAGTGTCAGCGTCACCTGGGAATTTGTTAGAAAAGCAAATTCTCAGGCCCCACCACAAACCTGCTGAAACTGGGGGTTTGACTCAGCAATCTTTTTTTTTTTTTTTTTTGAGACAGAGTTTCACTCTCATTGCCCTGGCTGGAGTGCAATGGTGTGATCTTGGCTCATCACAACATTTGCCTCCTGGGTTCAAGTGATTCTCCTGCCTCAGCCTCCCGAGTAGCTGGGATGACAAGCATGTACTGCCATACTCAGCTAATTTTGTATTTTTAGTAGAGACGGGGTTTCTCCATGTTGGTCAGGCTGGTCTCGATCTCCTGACCTCAGGTGATCCACCACCCTCAGCCTCCCAAAGTGCTGGGATTACAGACATGAGCCACCATGCCCTGCCTTGACTCAGCAATCTTTTAACAAGTCTTTCAGTTGATTCCGTTATACATGCACTGAAGTTTGATGACCATTGTAGTACAGGTAGTTTCTCATGGAATCTGCTAGCATTTTTGGATACACATGTTTATAAAGACAGAATATTAGGTATAATAAAAGTAACTATATGTGTTTAATATAGTTCATAATATGAATGTGACTTTAGGATTTAGAAATAAATGGTTTTTGTTTGGAACTTATTAACATTTGAAAACACAGCATTCCACAGAATACAATTTGGGAAACACTTCACTTGCATAATATATGTATTGCCTTAGTCAAAATTCTTTTTTGTCCTCCACTCCCACTGCTTCACTTGACTAGCCTAAAAAAAATCCTTTTGTTGGCCGGGCGCGGTGGCTCAAGCCTGTAATCCCAGCACTTTGGGAGGCCGAGGCGGGTGGATCACGAGGTCGAGAGATCGAGACCGTCCTGGTCAACATAGTGAAACCCCGTCTCTACTAAAAATACTAAGAAAAAATTAGCTAGGCATGAGGCCGGGCGTGGTGGCTCAGCCTGTAATCCCAGCACTTTGGGAGGCCGAGGCGGGTGGATCACGAGGTCGAGAGATCGAGACCATCCTGGTCAACATAGTGAAACCCCGTCTCTACTAAAAATACAAAAAATTAGCTGGGCATGGTGGCACGTGCCTGTAATCCCAGCTACTCAGGAGGCTGAGGCAGGAGAATTGCCTGAGCCCAGGAGGCAGAGGTTGCGGTGAGCCGAGATCGCGCCATTGCACTCCAGCCTGGGTAATGAGAGCGAAACTCCGTCTCAAAAAAAAAAAAAAAAAAAAAAATTAGCTAGGCATGGTGGCACGTGCCTGTAATCCCAGACACTCAGGAGGCTGAGGCAGGAGAATTGCCTGAACCCAGGAGGCGGAGGTTGTGGTGAGCCGAGATCGCGCCATTGCACTCCAGCCTGGGTAACAAGAGGGAAACTCTGTCTCAAAAAAAAAAAAAAAAATCCTTTTGTTTACATGTAACAGAAACCAGCACTGGCTGTCTCAAGGGGAAGGAAAAGACTAATTTACTGGAAGAAATAGGGTTATTGTCTCACAGAATCTCAAGAAGACTTCAACAAACAAGACTCAGGAAAGAAAGGGACTGCAGTAGCCAGAGTAGTTCTGTGAACTGCAGG